ATTCGAAAAATTTTATTTTGGATTTTGAACCCAAATAATGACATATCCCAAACCATTCGATTTCAAATCTAACGGTCAATGATTGATTGTGATTTATTTGTATCAAAAGAAAATGGACTCATTGTATATATTTTCTTAATATACTTTTCATATATATATATATATATATATATTATATTCATGTAGTAGATATATGTTATATTAACACATATAATATATATTAATATACATATTAACGTAATATAATATTATTATATTTTATTTATATAATAGATATTTACAATACACTATAAGTCATATAATATTTTATTTAAATATAAAAATAATATTTAATAATATTTAAATATTATTTAAATAATATAACTATATATATTTTATAATATTTCAATATTGCATGTATAGATTTAATATATTTTCAAAATATATTTAAATACCAAACAAGTAACCAAACATATATAATTCATTGCACAGTGCGTTTTAAAGGAGTTAACAAACACGGTGAAAAATTTTTTTGCAAAAGTTTTTCCCGCAAAGTGTTTACAAGTGTAAATGTTTTTTCTAGAGAAATATTTACGCACCAACCAAATGTGCTCTAAAGAGAAAGAAAAGTATATAGTACAATAACTTTTTTTTCGTAGAACTATGTTATAATTAATTTTCGTAATTGGATGTGAAATTGGGGGTGGGGGTTTGTCCCATTATTTGGGCTCATCTCGAAAGAATTTTTTTTGACATTTGTGAAGCACTCAATCAGTCAAATTTGACATCCGACTATGAGTAATTGTGATATCCTTATACAAAAGGTAAATAATTATTTGGTTTTGTTAGGGTACTCTTATATACAGAGTATTTCTTTAATGTATTCAATATTTTTGGACACTCATTATCCTTGCTTTATAAAACAAATTTTTTTAGACAATGACATTTTTCGTCATTAGGAGGGGTCAAATAAATATTTCTGTAAGAAACTAGTGCCATTCTATTAGTAGTTAAAAAATAATTAATGTTATTTATCTTAAAAATAAAGTAATTAATATTCAATATGAGTGAAATCATATCTCATGCGGATAATTTCATTCTCCGCTATAATTAATAAATATTCTTTTTTCTATTAAGAATTACTTTATTGCATGGTAATGGTATTACATGTCAAAAAAATATTTAGTATGTTAAGAAAATACTCCATGTGAAGGAGTACTCTAACAAAAGCCATAGTTTTTATGGCATATGATGCAAATGGTAGCTAGAGACCATTAAACATGTTGTATGTGTGAAGCCAAATGACATATGTGGGTTTGGGGTTCATTTGTTGACATTTTATTTTTTTGACTTTTTTACCTTATTTTTAGGCCATTAGCTTCGGTTTGATCTAAAGGCCGGGATGCATTGAGAGTCTCATGTTAAAAAGATTTTTTTTTTTTTTTTTGAGAAAAACAAAAGACAATGAGAGCTCATATTGGGCTTTTGTTGTGCCATGTTTTTTACCCTACTTTCTACTGAGAGAAAGTGAGAGAAGAAGGTATAGTTTTAGAGAGACAAAGCTATTGTAAATTGGAGTTTTGAATCTCATATTTTCTTGTAATCTTTATTGAATCAGTACGTAATGCTTCGCATGATTCTTCTATAGATGTAGGTCACGATTTGTGACTGAACTGCGTTAAATCCTTGTGTTATGTGATGCAGATATTGTTGTATTTACATTCCATGTTGTTTTGATGTCATATTATTTTTATTATTAATTTATATAATTTTGGATACACAATAGCTATTAATGGGTCCTGCTGTATTTTCACCACCATCAAACACAACATGGTATTGATGAAGGAATTTAATCTACCTGCAATAACGAAGAATAGAAAATCTCCTTTGCATGAAGAATAGCAATCGTGCTATTTTCCATAAAAGGCCAAAATATTTGATTATTTTGATTTAGTAGTTTCTTTACCATATTTGTTTTCCTAAAGTACGTTTATATCTAGTGTGTCAAATTTTTACGTGATTTATCATAATTTTAAGCTTCATATGCTGCGGGCACAAAGAGCTGGGGATGCCAACTACTTTATTTTTGAAAATTCCGTTTTATCCGTGTAAATGATGGGAAAAAGGTCGTGTGCTTAAAACCCATTGGTTCGGATTAGGACTTGGCGGGACCAAACTGGTTTCGGGAAGTTATCAGTACCGGCATGGTCCCACAAAAACTCCTATTTTGAACTTTTCATTTTTTGAGGTTTATTAATGGTTTTTTAGGTCCCCACTCCTACCCCACCTCCCAATTTTTTTTTTTTTAATTATTTTCTGGATCGCTGATTCAAAGTGATCTATATTAGCAATATGGAGATTTGACATAGACCTTTTGGGTTTTGAAAATCCATATTTAACCATAATTATGAAATTTAAAATTAAAAAATAATGCAAATTGAGCATATCTATAAATATTTCAAAATCATGAAAAACTATTTAGATATCTTGTTAGAAGTTGAACTACTTTTAGGATTTCAAATTCTTTTTTTGTTTCTTTATATCATACACTGCGTGGTCGAAATGATGAATAGGGAAGTTTCCAACTTTAATAAGTCTCTTTTCTAATGGATTTTTGAGATGCACCTTGCTTCTATAGTATACTTTAACATTTTCCTTTCTTGATAAATTGAAAGGGTAGTAAAGCTACTTTTACAAGCTCACTTGCCAAGGGCATAATTGGTGTGGGATCACCCAATCTTTCTTGAATTTGTTTATTTGCACTTGTTTTCTTCGTTTAGTTACTAAGCTTTGTAGAATCAAATCATGTTGTGAACTCCTAACGAAAGTTGAAAACAAATAAAAAGAAATGTGCTGCTAAGTGGTTTGTCCTAAATTTTTAATGGTATTGCATGATCTAGAGGTATGATGTCAGAAAGATCATACTTTCTTTTTTTTTAAGATTTTTTTTTTATATGGTCTGTCTCCAATATCAGACCAGTATACTTAAAAAAAAAATACAAGTATAAGGTGATCCTATGTTTCCAATATCGCACCACCTCAGAAATGATTCGATTTGATATTTGAGGCATTGAACTCCCCAGAAACCACAAAAATAAAAAAGAAAAAAATTAATACAGTTTAATATTTGCAACATCGCTAAAGTGGAATAAAAGCCTACTAAAAAAGGGACAAAGGTACTTTCAACAAAAACATTTCATGAAGTTCACAGAAATTGCAGAGGCAAAGGCAAAAACCATGTTTTTTTTTATCAACAAAAACATTTCACAAATTTCATCTAGTGATGATTCAAAGGTAACAAAGGTACTTGAATTTTCAGAAAAATAGGATGGAAGTCCTTACTCAAGAAATTGCAGAGAGCTTGGGTTCAAGTGGCTATAATGGGGAAGCAGCCCGAGAACTATACGCACAGATGCGTGCTATCAACATCATCGAAAGCCTTGGGATTCATTGGCACTTCACAGATGAGATTAAAGATATCTTGCAGCTTGTTTATAGGTAAGAATGCATGAGAAAAGGATAAATATCACAGAAACTAGCTGCAGTTTGTATTTTTGCAGAATTTAGTATTGGTGAGTCATGAATCATTTGTTACAAGAAGGATATAAAAAAGAGTGCATGGTACTCCCAAATAAATGAGCTTCTCGCTTTCTATAATATGATCATTCTACAATAAAATGCAGGAAATGGGATAAGGATGCTGGACTGGGAAGTGTAAAATCTACAGCTTTGGGCTTTCGCTTGCTCAGACTAAATGGATACCAGGTTTTTGCTGGTAAGAGAGAGAGCACCTTTGTTTCACATGAAGAATTCATTCATATGGTTAGATGTGGGTATCTTTTTCATACCAATCGGTCCTATTGCATCCTTTCGCTTTAATTGGTATGAAAATACACCTTACCATACGAGGAAATTTTTTCGCGTAAAAATATTTCGAGGAAAGTACTTTGACGTGCACCAGATGTACCCTAATTGTGTGTATTATCGTTAAAAATATATGGTGTTTCCTGGATGCAGATGTTTTAGAAATCTTTCGCGGGGAAGATCACGATGGAGAGTTATCTTCTCTCTCTAATGAATCATATGAAGGCCTTCAGGCGACCTTGGATCTCTACCTATCTTCTCAACTTGCATTTCCAATCGAAACCCAAATAATGGGTGAGGTTGCAAGATTCACAGAGAAACGACTACGAGAAGCACTTCTACAGAATAACCCTCTTCTTCAAACCAACCATTTAATAGATGAGGTACTTATAAAAATTGGTTCTTTACTTTTAGAGGGGGGAGGGGAAGGGGGGGGGACAAAATTGGCCCAAGTCGGATCGGGTTGCACTTGGGTCAAGAGTCATAGCTTTGCCTAGCTTGTCTGGCCCAATTGGAATTGGTCTAGTGCCTAGCCCGGTGAATGAACAAGGCACCAGGCCCAGGCCAGGACCATTTGAGCCAAGGCCAGCTTGTTGTTAATTCTATATACTCGCGGGATTAAATAGTAGATAAAGCTTATTTGTATCACTAAACTTGTTTTGTTTTCTTTATGAACTTTTGCATTTAGGATACCTAGAGGTCTGAGTCTCTTGTTTGGAGTTTTGATTTTCTCTTCGTGGGGGAAGCGATTCAATATGGTATTGATTTGATGATTTTGTTTTTTCTTAGATTGAGTTTGCATTGTCCAACTCAAGGAAAAGCCTTTGGCCGAGGCTGAGGCCCGAGTCTAGATGCCTTGCTCATCAGCTTTGGCCTGGAAACAAAACCAATGAAAAATATTTGGAGTTGGCCATTCTTGAAATGAACTCCCTACAGAAACTCTATCTAGAGGAGATTGAAGAACTAAACAGGTATTTGATTTACACAATCCCTCGTATGCATGCATGATCAAAATGCCTGTAGGAAACAGGGAGAAATAACAAAAATAATGGTGGAAATAGTTGAAAATTATTTGAAAAATAACTTAGTTTAATTTATTTTTCTGAAGAAATTTTCTTTATAGTCTCCCACCTAAAATAGGATGCCTACCACAATGCTGAAACTCAAGGTTACCCAAAAGGAAAAAAGAGAAGAGAAAACCAAGAAAAAAGTTTATGGTCATATTCCTCCCTTTTCCTCTCTCTTATTTATTAATTAGGCACTTGCAAATCGAGAACTAATATTTGTACTTCTGAAAATCCGAACATTGCATACTAATGTTCTATTAAAATATATTATGGTCATTCGTTGCAAGTTGTAGAAGCAACAGACTTGTAGAGGCCTCAAAATCAGCTTTTGCATATTTTTGGCTCTAGTCCATTTGAGAGCTCTGAGAGCTTACTAAAAAACTATTGATAAACAATTACTTAATATCAAAGATAAATTAAGAGAATATCAAAGATGAATTAGGAGACAGCCCATTTTTTAAATTGTGATAAATCAGGAAGGGTATGATGCCTGCATAGTATGCAAAATTTGATAACTCCACTTCATTATCTTTTACACTTTTTTGTGGGGCAATGGCCTATCCGATGTTTTACACAACCATCCTTGTTCATTGGGCATTGATACCATTTGTACCAAGTACGCATGATTTTGTAGGTTAACTTGTTATTGTTGGGATCGATCAGTGAAAAATCATCAAGGGTTTATAACATTAACAACTATTGTACATTCATATCAATATAAACATGCAATGGAAACTACACAATATCAAAGCAAGAACATAGAATGAAAATTCCAGCAACATTCAATCCACATAGCACAAAGATTTAACCTGGTTCAGTTACAAATCGTGACCTATATCTACAGGAGAATGGTGCGAGACTTCACTTACTGATTTGAGAAGATTACAAAGTGAAATCGAGCTCAAAATATCAATTTCCAGCAACCATTTCTCACTCTAAACAGAGCCCAAAATCAAACACCAAAAACACCCAAAAATGGATTCTCTTTATCACTTTATCACATTAAAACATGACACACAGCAAACCCACAATGGATTTCAAGTCTTTTGCTCACTTATTCTCTCTAACATACCAAACTTTCAAGAGAAAACTCAATTGCAGCCCAATCTCTCTATCTTTTTCTCTCACTCTTTCTCGCCCTAAACAAAAGGGTTTTAATCCCTTTAAAAGAGTAAAGTTTCTACAATACCACAACTATTGGATTAGATGCAATCCAATCCAATGGCCCAAAATAAAATAGAGAAAAGTTAAATAAAACTCTCACATGTGTGATTTGTTTTCACAAATATAATAGGTATTACTTGTAAGATGATTCTGACTAATGGAGAAAGATCCCTTTCTAAATAAAAGTTTGTATTGGTTATATTTTCGATCTTGAAACTTTATTGTTGTTGATAAAATGATTTATGTATTTAAATAATTTCTTTGGAACCTCAAAAAAATATGCTTCTAAGACAAAGTTTTACTTGAATTGTTTCAAATTCATAGCTATTTTCCTAGTGAATTAACACTTTTATGAACAAAAAAATCAGAAGCAATTTAGATGTGTTGAGGTAAATTTGTATACTCATAGCTTGATCACAAGAATTTCTGATCTATTTAGGTTGATTTCATAATTATTCTGTTGCTTAGAAATATAAATGGAAGATAATGTGTATACTGAAACTGGAATATCATAGAAATGTTAAGGGATTTATATTATTGTTTCCAAAATAGAATGGAAAACATACCAGTGATGAAAACTTCTACATTTCTCATCGAAGGTGGTGGGCAGATTCTGGTTTAGATAAGTTTGAGTTTGCTCGTTATCCGGTTCTAAAGTGTCACTTTATAATTGCGGCCGGTCTCTTTGAACCTGAATTTCATGAAGCGCGAATGGCATTTGTCAAGATAGCATGCATGAGTGCAATACATGATGATATCTTTGATCTTCCAACTTCTCGACTCGAGGATCTGAGCCTTTATTTCCAAGCTGTTGAGAGGTATTCTAATCTATTTGATAAAAATTTTATTTTGCTGGTTAGGTTTTACAACTTGTAACTTTATGAAAAATTTCAGTAATTCAAAAACCAAATAGAAAAATAACAAGTAGGAACATTCGATCCTAACTGGTAATTGGGAGTTCCCAAGCCCCCTCCAATTTGATGTTTATATATGCAGATAAATAAAAAGTAATTGCAATGGAAATTGAGAAAGGACTTTCAAGTGTTTCCCTTCTTATGAATTGATATTATAATTTAGGCATATAGGATTTACAATGTAGATGATCTACAATTCCTTTTTACATCTTTTTGGACAAAATATTTAAATTTCTTTCTTATTAGGTTCATTGGATTTAATAAATTTACTTTTATGACTCTTTGTACAAAGATTTTCAAGTTCTCATGAATTGACATTATAATTTAGGCATATAGGATTTACATTGTAGATGATCTACAATTCCTTTTTATATCTTTTTTTGACAGTATATTTAAATTGCTTTTTTATTAGGTTCATTGGATTTAATAAATTTACTTTTACGACTCTGCACTAAGATTTATCTATTAGTATCAACTTTTGAGGAACCATTTTTGTTATTGATGGCAGATGGGACTTATCTGGTATAGACGGTCTTCCCGAACACATGTCGCTCACCTTCAAGTCCTTTTATGCCACTGTCAATTCAATTTCAGAACAAGCCAGCAAGTCCCAAGGCTGCAACCTCTTCCTTTTATTTAGAGAAATAGTAAGTTTCTACTCCACTACTTTTACAACACAAAATTGTTTTTTTTTTTTTGTGTGCCAATCAGTGGGAAACTATAGATAATTCTTATAGAAAAAAGTTTGAAAGTAAGTAATTTGCATTGGTATTCAATCTAAATTATGATCATATATGATGAGTTCTCAACTGATTACAAAGATTGATTCAATTCACTCTACTTGAATGTAACAGTTTTGAGGAATTCACTTCCTTTCAATCTGATAAGGTATAGATTAGGTGGGTTACATGGCAAGCAAAACGATGGATTACGTGGCTTTTGTTGCCTGAAATATTACTAAATAATCTTTAATTTAACTTGTGATCATCCAATGGAGTTTGGATCATGAAAATTGGAGTAGAATTGGTTTAGAGGAATTTTGAGCTCCGATCCATTTTTTTAATAGATTAAATGGTAAAAACCATTGCTCAAATATACTTTTTTTTGGCCTGGGTTCCAAAGGTACAATTTGATCCTTTTCCGATGGATATTTGAGGTACCCTCACTTCTACACTATAAGGTTGACACTTCAACCTTCTTACAAAGTCTTAAAGGTTCTACCTGCTGTAACCATCAGTTTCCATCTCATGTTTTGCAGTTCACAGAAGTGCTATGGGCACATTTGAAGGAGGCAGAATGGAGAGTATCAGGTGACATTCCAACATTCGATGAGTACATGAAGGTCGGACCTATCACAGCGTGGTCTACAACATGCATCACGAGCACGATATTCCTAATGGGGGAGTATGTATCAGACGAAGCACTGAAATCCATTGGCCCAAGCTCAAATCTGCTCAATCTGGTAAGCGTCGTTTGTCGACTCTCCAACGACATTGTCACGTTTGAGAGAGAGGCAAGTCATGGTGAGATGGCATCTGCCATTGGATGTTATATGAGAGACCACCCAAATTGCACCCAAGAACAGGCAGTGGCCCAATTGAAAGACATGATTGAATCAAGCAACCATGAAATTGAGAGGGAGTGGTTTAAGTGCCAAGAGGTTGCTCCTGATTGTTGCAGTCGTGCAGCTGTCCATGTCGCGAGATTTATGAGCCTCCTTTATGGGAGAGAAGATGGATTTTCAAATGCTCCGGACAGTGATTTTGAGACATTGGTAAAGGATTTTTACTACAAATCTCTTCCATAATCTGAAAATTTGTTGTGTTGGATGTTGTAAGTAGCCTGTGAGGTTGGGTTTGGATCATGCTCCTCAGGCTATTAGGGTGAGGTTTGTATAAGGTTGCCTCCTTACCTCTAAAATTTGTTTGGAGATGTCAATCCAATGTCGGAAACCCTATGATGACGTGAAAATCTATTTTCATCTCTAATAATAAAAATTTAAAATTTTAAAAATGGTATAAATTGAGAAAATCAATAAATATTTGAAAATTTTGAAAATAGACGGTTCAGATGACTTGTTACAAGATGCACAATTTTTTGGACTTTGACCTCTGTTTTTTCTTCATGTCCATAAATCTCGAGGTCAAGATGATCAATTGGAGAGCTCTTCAATGCCAGAACACTCTCTTTTGAAGGATTTTTAAGGTGTGCCTTACTTCAATAGTATAAGGTTGTAACCTTACATAAAACTTCAATTCTGTAAGGCCTAGGATCTGCGACAACAAAATAAACCCTCACCTCAAATCCCAATCCGGATTGCACTATCGAAAATCTCTGTGATGGCTCTAAAATCAATTTCTAGCACCGACAATGAATCGAAACTAAAAAAATGGTACAGATATTGTCGATCTATAAGCACTTAATTTTAGGACAAAATAGACAATCTAGATAATTTATTATTATATGCAGTTTTTTAAGAACTTGAAATTTTATTTTGTATCCACAACCATGATGCTCAAACCAAGATGATTGATATAAAGGTTTTCTAATTCTTGAATTGCATTGAGTTATGAGGTGAGGCTTCGCTTGTTTCGATAGAGCTACAGCCCTATCAAACCATTTTCGAGTACTAAATAACCCCTGTTAGGCAGCATTTTTATGCACAAATAGGGTTCCGACGATTATGGCTACGAACGCGCTGAGACACAATGGAGGAAGACACTGGTACTAATTTCATTTAGTGGTCCAGGCCCTCAGATTGTGTATGTACTTGAAACAATTAAGCCCTGCTAAGCTGGGTATTTTGTCACAAATCCTGGTTGTCTACATGTGTTTAAGTCTTTATGAATGAACCCAAAGCAATTCACATTCTCTTACTGTAATCTAGGGGTGGCAATGGACCCGGACCGGGCATGGGTCTAAGAATTGGACCCAATGGGTCGGGTCCGGGTCTAAATATTAGATTCGAATACTATTCGGGTCATAGACCCGAACCCATCATGAATAGTGTTATTATATTAATAATATTTAATTTATAATATTATAATAATATTTGATTAATTTTTAAATAAATATAACTATATATATTTTTAGTTATAATATTTAAGGGTGTGATTTCTATAAAGTTGCAACCTTAAACAATCCAATTAAGGCACACCTTTAAATTTTATCATATGTAATTTTGAAGTAAAGATTCCTTAAGATTATCTTAATATCTATTTTCAAATATCTATTTTCATCTCTAATTATGAAATTTTAGACTTTAAAAATGGTTTAAATCAAGTAGATCTATAAACATATGAAAATCTCGAAAATAAACGGTCTAGATAATGTATTTCAAGGTGCACTATTTCTGAGACTCATAATCATTTTTTTTCATATTCATACACCTTGATGTCGAGATGATCAATTAGAGGAATTTTCAATTCGATGGATTTTTGAGATGCATATGTAATTCAACATTTAAGGTTGCAACCTTATATAAACTTTTTCTTTTAAATAAGACATGTATATATTTAACTTAATATTTAAATATGTTTTTATCTATATATTTTTTATTTTTGGGTCGGGTCCAATTGGATCCGGGTTCAAGTCCGGCCGGACCCAGACCCGACTCGTTGCCACCCCTAGATTGTGTCGTGTTTGGGTCAACCCCAACCCAGACCTGATCCAATTGGTTCCTAGCAAGACTAGGAAAAATAACAAAGTTTTTTTAAATATAAAGAATATTGCAAATATACATGCCTATTAAATAAAAATATTTGGGTACTGTCAGGTCGCTTTGACCTTAACCCGAACCTAATTCGACCCAATAAGTTCCAGGATGGACCCATACCTAACCCATGCCAGGCCCAGGTAATTTGGATCTAGACCCGACTCACACGGTCAAATAATTTAGGGTAGGGCCCGACCATTGTCATGTTGAACCCAGGTTGGCAGGTCCACCCTGACTAGATATCCACCCCTAAACATTATATTACATTAGGAAAATCAGGCGCAGAACTGTCTGATATCGAAATATTCAACGGTTTGGATAGAATCTTTCCGACCAAACTTTGCAGCTTATTCCTTCTCAAATAAGACAAAAGCTCAAGCATAATTTGAGATGGGAAGGAATCTATGCGAACCATATGCTTTAGAAAACGGCTAATTGTCTAACTTCAAAAAAAAAATGCTAAAGAATGGAATGAAGTTTTAATAAGGCTTAAGTTTTATAAAAACAAAATAAAGCCTCACCTGAAATCCTCATTTTTAAAAGCACTATAAACATAAAAAAGCTCCACGATGGCTCTAAAATCAATTTCTGGCACCCAAAATAAAATTTGAAACTAAAAAAATGCTGCAGATCTTGCCGATAAACATAAAAAAGCTCCACGATGGCTCTAAAATCAATTTCTGGCACCCAAAATAAAATTTGAAACTAAAAAAATGCTGCAGATCTTGCCGATCTATCAACGCTTATTTCTAGGGCAAAATGGATGGTACAAAAGATTTGTTGCAATATACATTATTTTTAGAATTTCAAATCCTAATTTTTTTCATACTATAATATTCAACTCGAGATGATCGATTTAAAGGTTTTTCGATACTTCAATTACAATTTCTCGTGAGTTATGATGTGAGCGTTTACTCATTTTGATAGAACTGCAACTTGACAAACCATTGTTCTTAAAGAATAAGCAACTGATGTATGAAGATGCTCAAAGAATACATCCCCCAACAAACTTAGCCAAAAACAAACGGAGAAATTGCTAAATTGTCGCATAAAGAATAAGCCACTTGATCTATACGAATAATAAAACCCCTAACTAACTTAGTTTTAAAAAAGAAGAGGATAAAAACAGTAAACAAATGAAGTGTTAGATCAAGAGCTTCAACCTTGGGAGAAAAGGTAAAACACTATCCTATATATGCTTGGACAAGTTAGGTAAAATAAAAAGGGAAAGCTTTCTATGTTTCCCCTACAGCATAAAATTTATATATTTCCCCTTATCCAACCGTTCATTTTGAATGGAGGGCTAAGATTGCCCCAATCACAATGTCACGTCTCTAAATTATTTTATTTTTAATTTTTTTTTATAAACTATTTTTACACCAAAATTTGGACGTCCAATTCTCTATTAAACTCGCACTAGCGAAAAATATAAAAAAAATATTTTCAATGAAATAAAATGGTCAAAATACCCCTAAAAGATTCAAGGGGTATTTTAATCATTATATTTTATCGAAGAAGAATTATTTTCAATATTTTTTATAGGTGCGCCCCAATGAGAAGATTACACTTACCAAATTTCATATTCATAAAATTTGTATAAAAAACATTAAAAATAAAATACTTTGAAACGTCGGATCTAAGATCAAACAACGACTGGCTCTCTTGATCAAAATTGGACAACTGGATGGTAGGGGAGGATAGTTCTTCTATACTGTAGGGAAAGTATAGAAACCTTTCTCAAATAAAAGACCCAAAAGGGACATGAAAATGTGGAAGTTATTTTTTAAATACCACTGATTATAATTTATAAGAGATATTAGCATACTCTTCCAAAAAAACTAAAAGGAGGTAAACCTTGGGTTAGGCTCATGGACTAGGCTGGTATTTCAAAATTTTCAGGGTTATAAGTTTACTGTCAGTTTCCCCAAATTGTGAAAGTCCAGCACTTTGCAACTATTGAGATATTTCTAAAAATGAAAAGGAAAATAATAAAAAATAAATAACAAAGGAAAAACAAACATAACAGACTTCTGCGGGTCAGCACATAACTATATAAGAGCCAATGGCAAAGGAGTCATGACATGAAACTCCACAATATAGAGACAATGGCTCTTCTCCTCAGTGACTTCCCTCCACCCTCTCTTACTTTCTCTCTCCTCTCTCCTCGTGCCTCCATGAGCTCTTCTTTCTCTCTCCTTCCTCTTCATGCCTCCAGGGGTTCTCCTCCTTCCTCTCCCCTCTCTCATACATGTCCACACACATATCCACTTTTCTCTCTCTTCTCTCCTCATGGCTTCTATGGTCCGTCTCAATCCTCTCTTCTCTCTCCCCATTTCCTCCCTATTACACCTCATGTTGCCCGTACAGGTCTCAAGAGGCATGTGTGCTCATGCCTGGGCATTCATGGAGTCACCATGCCCTCAAGTTTAGAAGAAACTGATGAGAAACATCCTCACCATGAGGGCGATGTAAGTGTCTCACTTTTAATTGGTTGATGAATTTAGAATTTAGAAAATTTCACTCAATATTATACATGCACAATTATATTGACGGGAAAGCGTTCTATGTAATCTCACCCACATGTATAATATATGTGACCCTTGATCTCAACCGTCTGATATAAGTAGATTGTTGCGATGACTTGAGTCATAATGTCATAAGCTGGCTATTACCCGTCAGATCTTGATTTGATGGTTCATATTTTTTTATTTTAAGTTTTATTCCATAAATCATTTTGAAGTAAAATTCGAGGAATGCATATATATGATAGGGGAGAGCACATGATAAAAATAATAATAAAATATTTCAGGTGATCAAAATGACCAAAACACCTCTAAAAATTTTAGGGGCATTTTGGTTATTTATTTTTATGGAACTCTTATTTTTTCTAGGTTCGGCCCTAATTTTATGATGGGCTGCCCAAATTTTCATCCAAAAATGTTTTGTAAAAAGAAAATGAAAAATAAAACAATGTTTGGGTAACATTGCAGCATGAACATTCATAGTCGTTTGATTCAAGTCGAATGTCTAAGAAGTGGGGTCGCATATGAATTATATGTTGTTGGGTTGCAAAAAAAGCTTTGACCATATTGACAGACTCGGAAACAAAATAAAATAAGATAATTTACTTTTTGATACGAGGAGATCATAGTTAGACTTGGCCTTTAGATGTAATTATAAAGTCAAAAGGAATTCTTTTATCTTTATTACACATTTCAAAGGATCCATAACCAAATTCCCCTCCCCCCCCCCCCCGGCCCCGCAAAAGCAATGTATGAGAAAGCCTTTTGAAGCGGTTTTATAAGCACGGTTCTATAAGCATTACTATTCTATGCTCCGCATCACAACACCACCACCACTGCATTGCCTAACCACCACTATCACCACCGCTCCACCCCCACACCACTATGACTGTGGAATTGCACTACTACCACCGCCATGGAGCTACCACCATTACTGCTCCAACGCGCACAATACCATTGTCGCACGTATTATCTCAACTGCCGCTAAAACTAGCACCAACATCACATCACCATCACTGCAAATAACTACTTACTAGATCACATTTGGAAGAGAAGCATATTTTTTTGACGAAATTCAAAAAAATTCAACCATAAATAATCAAAGAGAATGGATGGTTGGGGATTATACTTAGCATACTATTTTGATATTACATACAATCCTAGTGGATAATTTGAAGGGAAACACTCTTAAAATTTACAGGGAGAGAAGAGGGTAGGAGATCTTATCAAAGAAATCAATGAGAATTTTGGGTCACATAGTGATGATGGGAAAGCCAGCCAGTGTTTGTACGAGCGACTGAGAGATGTTGACATAATGGAGAGGCTTGGGATCCACCCTCACTTCAAGAATACTATCAAGGATATCTTGCAGTCTGTTTATAGGTAATCCATCAAACCTAGGATCTTCATTGTCATGCAATTGTCTTTTTGACTCAAGTGAAGCGCTACAGCCTAGGCTTCTCAAGGGCTCATTTGACTCCCTGCAAATGGGTCTCTAAGAGACTCATTTCCATGGATACAGATATTTCTGTAATTTCAATGCGGTTTGGATATGATTTCAGTCTCCGCGAGAAGATTTGTATCCATGCCTTGAGGCCAAAATGTGGACATCTGTACTCCACAAAAATAGGTGGAATACATATATTCACATTTTAAGATCTGTATTCTATTATAATATAGATATGGATATTCCACCAAAATAATAATGTAAAAAATATATTATAATAAATATAGAAATATTATAATATATAATTATATTATAATATATGATTAATATATATTATATATGACGTCTTCCCACAACAACCTATTCGAGGGAACCAGTGCGCCCTAGACTCCCCCCAACTTGGGCACATATAATTGATTCACAATGAATTACTATTGATTTACACATACTCGAGTGACTCAATTGTATGCACCCAAGTCACTTGTGAAAGATGAACTATGTGATAATGCATAGTGTATATATTTTTTTTAAAATTTTTGTTTCACTGGTAATATCACTCACAATGTCTAATCACAATTAAATTTCACTTGAAATAAATAAATAAAGAAAAATAGGATCTCACTAGCTATCATCTAAAACAAAACTTTACACAATAATGAAATTGTAATGATACTACGAGACCCTCCTACAGCCATGTGAGTAGGACCCCAAATGATCACTATTAAATTTTGACACAGATCTCTAGAAAAGTTATCAATAAATATATTCACCCAAGTCCTACAACCAGGTGTTAAC